TTTGACTTACTTTGATGCGGATGGAAATTGGCACAGGTCAAGCAAAGGTGCTCCTGAGCAGGTAACCTCCATCAGTTTGTTCATAAGTTGTGAGACTTATAGTTACTCCATTGGTGCTAATGTATTTATTTTGGTGAACAGATTATGTCCCTGTGTAACCTCAGGGAAGATGCTAAGAAGAAGGTCCATGCTATCATTGACAAGTTTGCAGAAAGAGGGCTTCGTTCACTTGCTGTTGCTAGACAGGTTTTTATTGCTAGCTAGTCTTCATGTTTAAATTTTATATTTGCATATCTTCATTTCCCTTCACCAAAATAAGCCTTGACAATGTTACTCACTGATACTTGTACAGGAAGTTCCTGAGAGAACAAAAGAAAGTTCTGGTGCTCCATGGCAGTTTGTTGGTTTGTTGTCACTGTTTGATCCCCCAAGACATGACAGTGCTGAAACCATTCGCCGAGCTCTTAACCTTGGCGTAAATGTTAAGATGATTACTGGTAACTAATCTCCACCATTCCATTATCTGCAGGAAAATTATATTGGCAATAAAATACATTTGTTATCACACATCCTTATTTTAAATCATGAATTTTGTTCTGCCCCTTAGGTGATCAACTTGCCATAGCTAAGGAAACAGGACGGAGACTTGGAATGGGAACAAATATGTATCCATCTGCTTCATTGCTTGGACAAGACAAGGATGCAAGTATTGCCGCACTCCCTGTAGAAGAGCTGATTGAGAAGGCAGATGGATTTGCTGGTGTTTTTCCAGGTTTGTATTCTTGTATCAACTCACTATAATCTTCTTATTATTCCCTTCTGCCTCTGCTCATGTTCATTAGAATTGTGTAATAGATAGATCATCATATCTTATTATATTCTGTTTTCTGTACTTCAGAGCACAAATATGAAATCGTGAAGAAGTTGCAAGAGAGGAAGCACATCTGTGGAATGACCGGCGATGGTGTCAATGATGCTCCTGCACTGAAGAAGGCTGATATTGGAATTGCTGTTGCCGATGCCACTGATGCTGCAAGAAGTGCTTCTGACATTGTCTTGACTGAACCTGGATTGAGTGTTATTATAAGTGCAGTCTTAACTAGCAGAGCTATTTTCCAAAGAATGAAGAACTATACGGTCTGTTACTTCTTTCCTGTTAGGCTAATCTTTTTTCCAGTTACGGTATTGAAAACTAACTCCCGGTTATCTTTTAATTTCAGATATATGCAGTATCTATCACAATCCGTATAGTGGTAAGTAGAGAGTGTTACTGTGATTAAATATGTAATTCATTACGTCAAAGAATTGGTATTGATCAGTTTGGATTTTCCGTTTCTCAATGCAGTTTGGCTTCATGTTCATTGCACTGATCTGGAAATTTGACTTCTCCCCTTTTATGGTTTTGATTATTGCTATCCTGAATGATGGTAAAATTCTTATTTATCTGAAATATACTTGATATCTTCTTTTATGATAAGTGAGAACCGTGATCTAAAACAGTATTGTCAAACTATTAGGAACAATCATGACAATTTCAAAGGACAGGGTTAAACCATCTCCACTACCTGATAGCTGGAAACTGAAAGAAATATTTGCTACTGGGGTTGTGCTTGGAGGTTACTTGGCGCTGATGACTGTTATATTCTTCTGGGCAATGAAAGAGACTACTTTCTTCCCTGTAAGAAATATTTACATTTCATGCTTCCTTATTGCAGTTCAATGTTCTTGTTTTGGCTCAAATGTCTGACACTATCCCTCCCTTCATTGTCACTGAAGGATAAATTTGGAGTTAGAGATATTCATGATAGTCCAGATGAAATGACAGCTGCTTTGTATCTACAAGTCAGTATAGTTAGCCAAGCTTTGATATTTGTAACCCGTTCACGCAGCTGGTCCTTTATTGAACGCCCTGGATTGTTGCTAGTGAGCGCTTTCTTTATTGCTCAGCTGGTAAGGACGATGATCTTACATCATATCTGCTAGAATTGGATTTATGGAACTGAAATGTGATCAAATTAGGATATGAATTGTGTGATCAACTTAAGAGTGTTAATTGTTTCATTATAAGAATTATGAGAGAAGTTGGAGTGATGTTTTGAGCTTATTGTTTTGCAGATTGCTACATTACTAGCAGTGTATGCAAACTGGGGCTTTGCAAGGATCAAAGGAGTTGGGTGGGGTTGGGCAGGAGTTATATGGCTCTACAGCATTGTCTTCTATGTCCCCCTTGACTTGATGAAGTTCGCCATCCGATACATCTTGAGTGGCAAAGCTTGGTTGAATCTCCTAGAGAACAAGGTACTTTATGGTTTTTTTCACTTTTGCTTATTCTTTGACTTGAAGTTTGTATGCATAGGTTTCAGATTTGATAATTGTTTCAAATTGTTGGTGACAGACTGCCTTCACCACCAAGAAAGACTATGGTAAGGAGGAGAGGGAAGCTCAATGGGCTCTTGCGCAGAGGACCCTTCATGGACTTCAACCACCGGAAACTTCTAGCATCTTCAATGAGAAGAGCAGTTACAGAGAACTGTCTGAGATTGCGGAGCAGGCTAAGAGAAGAGCTGAAGTTGCAAGGTAAGCAACCACATTTCGTAGCACAATTGACTCATTACTTGCCATGGAATTAATACATGAAATTTCTCTCTTTTTCACCTACCCTTTTTAGGCTTCGCGAGCTTCACACACTAAAGGGACATGTTGAGTCTGTTGTGAAGCTGAAAGGTTTGGACATTGACACAATCCAGCAGCATTACACCGTGTAATAAACAACACAAGAACGTTGTAGATAGCAAAAGGGCCAAAATTCAATGCTTTAAAGGAACGGAGAGACAAGGATAAGGCCAGACTATTTATGCTTACTAGGTAGGGAGAGGAAGCCTGTGATATATCCATCTCTCTCAGTCTGTTTATCTTTTCTTCATGTATTTTCATATGTTTTAGTCTAAATTTTTGCTTTGATGCTTGGGGAAAAGTGGTGTTACCTTCAATCCTTGTTATTCATATGCTTTTGAGTCCTTCCTCAACCAGGGTTGTAATGTTTGATTTGTCACTTTAAAGTGGCAGTGACTAGACAATGAGCTTATTGGGAATTTTGTGGTGGGAGAATAAGAGTTTATGGAATTTAACGGCATCATGCAAAATTTGAAACTTTGACTTGGTCTCAAAAAAGACTTTTTTCATGTTATTTGGAAACACTAATTCCAGAAAAAAAATGCAGTTCTAGGGAATGAAATAAATGCCACCAAATTTTCAAACGGTTTGAAGATACGTCTACCTTTATCCATGGGGTGACTAATTAATGTTTTGAAAAAGTTGCTAGCTGGTACTTTTGATCTTCTTTCATAAACAAACTCTAAAAAGTCAAGGTCCAGATCATGAATTTGAAAAACTGAGATGAGGCAATGGTGCAGTGCATGGTGTCCCCAAAAGAGGACAAAAATGTAGGAATGGGATCCTCATAATGCCTCAGTCAAAAGCAAATTTGGTTACTATGGAAAGCAGTCAAGGGAAGAACTTTAATCGTGCATATAACCATATCAAATTTTGTTTCCTTTGCACTTTTTTTTAGAAAGACACCACTAATTTGGCAACTCAATCCCCTTCCTTCCTGTCGGGTGCCTTGGGCATTGGGGCTAATTTATCATTAAGCTACCTTTCTGGCAGAACTTAAACACTAAATACAAGAAAACAGCAGCTATCAAGATCACGATTGTAAAAATAAATAGTATGAAAAAGCTTCTATTGAATCGTGAGTTTACTTCGTCAAAATAGAGAATAACAAATATAGAGCGAATACAATGTCATGCCAGAAGAGAAACTGTAAACATATGAATAAGCGTATTGGTATTGAAAAAATAAAGGGGAGGAGGCTGAATGCATTTACGGGCACTATTAAATTTATCATTGATTATAAATTAACTCAGGGAATTTCATTTTATTTTTGTTTAATCTCTGTTATTAGTGGCCTTACCCTGCAGAATAGTTAATGCTTTCAACGCTTGGAATCAGAAGATGACCTATCTCCATCGATGTGATCTGCTCAATCTTTATAGAGCGATTCTAACTGTTTCATATTTTCATCAAAGTAGCTTAAAATTGGTTTTGATGACCTTAATTTTTATAAACATTTGCTCCGTGAAACTTATTGGTTGGTCTGCACAAGTTAAAATACATTAGTATTATTTGACATTTATTTGCATAGTGATAATATACTCAATCTATTAAGCAATGCATCATTCAATATTAAATAGCTTGAATTTTTATAAGATATTTGTATGTTTTAAATATTATTATTATTATTATTATATATGTTTGGGTCGTGATATGATTGGATTTTGATTTCAACCCTTATGCTCTGAGTTGTGATCATATCTCTCAGCAGATTTGTGTTCTGTATGCCTTCTAAGTTAAAAGAAGTAAATTAATTAATTTATGTTGAATGGTTATTGTGGAACATGTTCATTGTGCCTAGAACAATTGTAAGTTGAATCGGAATGTTCTTGATCGAGTAGAATTGAGAAAAAGATAAGAGATTGACACCATTCTTTATCAAAAATCTTAAGACAATGGATTAATGAATTTTTTACCCTTATATAATGTTTTACTTTCTCATTTCTATCTAACGTGAGACTTGGACTAACACTTGAATTCGTGAGACTTGGACTAACACTTGAATTCGTGAGACTTGGACTAACACTTGAATTCCTAGCAAAAGGTTGCATGCAGCATGCTATTAGTTTTGTGAGTTGATTGACCAAAATTTCCACCCCAGTGGTCCTATACCAGAAAATGTCAACATCTCTCTTTCTCATTTCATGTGGGACATTATCCAAGTAGGACTCTTTTGCTGTGGGGAAACGTATGATAATTCCTTTTTCAGAAAACTGGCCAGAGATTTATCTGGGGGCTCAAAATTGAAGGATTTCATGGCACTCTCACTAAAAAGTTGTTTAGAAATATCAGTTGATTTTGAACATGAAGTTTATTGAATTAAGTTGTACAAGTAATACTACTCACTAATTTTATTTATAAATTACAGAAAATGATTAAATTAGATGGAGGTGGTGTGGTCCACTTGCATTGACAAATCATTGAACTGGTTTTTGAGGAATGAAAGAATCCAACTCAAGTAAGAGAAAGAAAGAGGGAAATCAGTGGGCAGATATGGCAATGCATGTAGGGGAAGATGAGCAACTGCACGCAACAATCATAATGGATGCGAACTTCCAGGACAGCAATCAGTATCAGCCACCTAGAAAAAGAAGAAAAGGTTCAGATGAAGGGTCCAGAAATTACAGAGAGTAGAAGGGTATCAGGTCAAAGAGCTCACCACACACGTGCCCTTCATTCAGCCTAGCCTCTCCATATCACCTTGCTCTTTGATTTGTTGCATGAAACTGCTATGTGTCCATGTTCTTATTATGCTCACCCCGATTCCACGTAATGCAAACACCGGTGGCAGTAGACTAAGCCTTTGTTTACTTGAATGGATTTGGGAGAGAGTGATTGAATAGATTTGAGATGATTTAAGATAAATTTATTGTTGTTTATTTGAGTGGATTTTGGAGGTAAGTGAGAATGGATTTGGAAGTAAAGTTTGTGAGAATTAATGTAGAATTTGATTGATTGACAGATTAAAAATATTTACTTCCAAATCCACTTTCACTTATCTCCAAAATCGACTCAATTAAATAACAAAAAATTTATCTTCAAATCCTCTCAAATTCATTCAATCTCTCCCCTAAATCCATTCAAGTGAACAAGGACTAAAAGATCTTTTCTCGGCCTTGTAACCATGATTTTAAACCTTGTGGTGGCTATGTTAGGAAGTCGGAACATCTTTGGTCGTACATCACAACCACTTTATGCGATATAACAGACCCATACTCATGATTTAGTTTCATTCTAACTCTGTCCGTTATACCTTTACCCTCACAATCACTTATAACGATGTTAAATTCAAGATCATAAAGGTTTCAACGAGTACAAAGCACCAAATGAAGCCATATACGGGGGAAGGTGGAGCAGAAGAGAGATCTATAATTACAGAATACTTTGCTGACTTGTACTCCAACCATTCTGGAACTCTGCTTCCTGGGTACCCGTAAAAGGCTTGATAAGAATAAAAATTCTTTTCATAATCGTTGTAATTTTGAAAATCATCTTGCTTTGGCGCAGATAGGTGTTGGTTTGCAAATTTCATCACGTTGATTCGTGCATTCAACCCAATAGCCTCTAGAGAAGGTTCATCCAACTTCATGCTATTGACGAACGAAACCAGTCTTCTATTTTCCTTTATTTGTTCCACTGCCGTTGAATGGAAGAATACAGTCTTCAATGAATTGCAGCCTCCAGCATATAGAGTTTCCAGGGAAAGAGGAAGCTCTGGTATTGTTAGAAGCTTCGGGCAAAAGGTTATGTCTAGATATCGCAGTTGTGTATGGTTGGCGAAGGATGAAGGTAGCCTCTCAATACGACTTGCACAAAGACTTCGAAATTCAAGCTTGCTTTGATGCCCAAATGATGAGGGAAGTGCTTTCATTCTCGTGAATTCTAAACTCAGTTGTTTCATATTATCTGATGTCAGTGTGAACTCCGTAAGATTGTAACAATCATTAAGGTTGAGATACCTGAGCCTGCATAAATGGAGATGGGTTGCGAGTATAGTAAGGGACTTGCACCCATCAAGGTTCAAAATCTCATGTTTAGTCAAAGAGAAAACAGATGGGTGCACACTGGTTAAACTCAAACAACCCGTGAGGCACAGTACTTCAATATTTGAGGCTTTTGATAAATCTGGCAGCTGTTTCAAGTTCCTTGAGTTTCTGAGATCAAGTTCCTTTAAATTCACCAGATTCTGAATAAAACAAAACAAAATGACGATGTCACTACAGTTAGATCAATTTCTTATTGCTTGAATTAGCAAAGAATTGTAAGTGAGACTCATATTTACCTTCACTCCATCCCAAAGTTTTTCCACTCCACCCAATTTTAATGTCACAAGCTTTTCACCAGAAAATTTGTCTGGCAAGGATTTTAGAGGGTAAAATTCCCAACGAAGAAATCAGTTGCCAAATATTGAAGGCCTTCAGAAAAAAGTTGACTGTAGCAATTATACTTATCTTCCCCATATATTTCCATGAATCTTAGTTTGCTCATCTTAGAAAATATGTGAGGCATTAACTTCTGCTTCTTAAGTGTTTCCAAGTCAATTTGTATGCTTCTAGTGGCCTCACTAACCTGTCACCAATATAGCAGAATAGTTAAGCATCATTTAAACCATATTCCTCACAAAAAATACTCAGATGTTATACATTTATTTAGGCTTTAACCTTGTCATTTTCCAAAGCTTCATAAATGTCATCAGGATCCCACAACCGGCTGCGTTTTCCAGGGTCTTCAGGAGACTCTTGTCGAACAATCTCCCAAGCCATTTCTTTTATACTGTCATACATACTTACAACATTATCTTTGGAAAATGTTATAAGAGCTTTATCTTTAAGTCTTTCTAGTGAAACAACCATTGAATTATCTCTTTCACCATCTTTCAGTAAATATTTTAGATAGCCAGTGGTTATCTTCACAGATGATATGCAAAAAAAACATGCAAGATCAAGAAAAATCTGTTTCTCTTTGCGATCTAAATCATCATAACTCAGCTTTATAACATCATAAACTTTTGTAGGAGGCACTTTTTTAAGCTTGTCTAGCTCACTCTCCCATACATCCTCATTCTTTCCATGTAGTCGATGAGCCAAAACTTTTAGAATTAGTGGAAGCCCTTTGGCATAGTGAACAATCCTTTTTGAGAGTTTATTTTACTTCCTTTGATGAACACTTTGGTTGAAGGCATTCAGATTGAAAAGTTCAAGAGCTTCATCTGAAGTGAATTCTCTAAGATGGTATATCTCATCAGCTTTATTAGCTTTAAGCACTTGCTCATCTCTGGTTGTTACAATTATGATACTGCCTGATCCAAAATTGTCAAGACCTCCTAACAGCTCTCCTATGCGATCTGAATCATTCACATCATCAAGAACAATGAGAACCTTCATTTGACTTATTCTCCTAACAATATCTTCTGGCAGTGAATTTGGCGTGTCAATTTTCAAATCTCCTAACAACAGTGCAGAAAAAATTTCATTCCTCAAACAATCTTTTCCGTGTCTGCTTAACTGTTCTCTTACATTGGCCAAAAAATAACAACCTCCATATTTAGACCGTAGTTTGTTATATACTTCTTCTGCAAGGGTTGTCTTGCCAATACCACCCATACCCCAAAGTCCAATTAGACTGGTTTTCTCTGACTCTCTGTGTATCAATGATTCTACATCTGCAATTCTTTTATCAATTCCAACAAGCCCTTTTGAGTTAACCAGGGATTTCGTCAACCTCCTCAGCACAAGATCCACTATTGCTTTTAGCAGGTCAGCATCATTTCTATAAAACACCACATACAGGCGATGTGTTAAAATCAATGCTATCAATATTAACTCATTTGGAAATTTGTTGGGGCAAAGATGTTCTCAACATGCATTATGGAAAATTTCCTTTATATTTCTTCCATCCTTCTCTGTGGAGATTCCTTAACTGCTAAATTCAATGGATCAAAGCACTGGTTTCATCAGAATTCTAGCCTAATGGTATTGACTCAAATTATTTGTCATGCAAAAGTATTAACTGATAAACATACAAAAGCTTACATCATTTTGCAGTTTAGCTACCATGCTATGCATATATACTATATGACAACTAGATAACATTGATCATCTATGTGGAAAAAGAGCTAACCGAAATTTTGATGACTCAAGTCCAGATAAATAAGCAGACTTTTCGAAGACATCTCTCCAGAGTTGAACCTCATTGTTATGTTTTCTCTCATGGTCAGCGAATGCTTTTCTGTAACCATCAGATGATTGATGTCGTACATCTGTAGGTTTTACATGGTAGAAAACAGGTATGACAGTTTGCTCATATTTCTCTTTGCATTCAAGTATGCTCACAAGTTCTTTCAAACACCAAGGAGAAGAAGCATAGTCTGGTGAGAATATGATCAAAGAAATGGACGATCCTTCAATTGCTTCGACGAGTGATGGCCATAGTTCTTCCCCCTTCTCAAGCTTATCATCTACGAAGGCATTTATTTTCTTCACATCAAAAGCCTCAGTCAAATGGCTAAGGAACCCATCGCGGATATCTTCACCCCTGAAGCTAACAAAAACATCATAGTTTATTTGAGGTGAGTTGTTGTTTGACATGGGATTTTTCTCTGTACCATTCAGTTTTCGAAATAACAGAGAGAAATAGAAAAGGACACAGAGAAATGAACAAGAGACAAACAAATACAAATACAATTTGTCAAACAAAGAGAAACTGGGTATGGTGTTGGATTGGAAGAAGGATTCACTGAATAAATGTAATGGAGGCCCCAGGCTTTTTTCAATTATTGATAAATGGGAGGAGCAGCGGCTTTGTTAATTAAATAAAACTAGTACGATAGCAGTCACTACGTAGATTATTTTTTAATTGAATATGTTTTAGTATGAACCGAACTGTCCTAAGAGATCTTGGACACACCAGTTCGTCATGTTCCCTTCTTTTTTGTTTGAGTTGTCTCTTGCTACCTGGTAATATTCTTGTTCCTCCAAATATATATATATATATATATATATATATATATATATATATATATATATATATATATATATATATATATATATATATATATATATATATATATATATATATATATATATATATATATATATATATAATAACATGGTCCTTCAAATTGAAATGTCTTTTACATATAAAATATTTTGTATATACAATAAGAACTCAACTTCATACCTCATACTTACTACTATTAGATTGTTTAACTTACATATGAGACATAAGAAACTAAAATTGCTAACTGTAAATTTCTCATACACTAAGATACACCAAACCCATATAAGATTAAAAAAAATCATGGGATATCAAAGGAAGGAACACCTGGATCAACATGAAGCACAGCCAAATTTCATTTGTTTAACGAAATTGATACTGTGACTCTCGCAATTGCATTTCCTGAATGAATTTTTTATATGTTGAGCGGTTTATAAGGCTAACGCCAAATCCTTTCAAAAACTTGTGTGAGAGTGCTTCTTCCACTGTAACCTGGATTTTAAACCTTGTTTGGTTTTTGGCTCTGTTGTTTAAGAAGGTAGAACATCTTTGTTCATACATCACACACACGTGATCTGATTCAGTTTTCTCATAGCCATAATCTATGTAAATCGGAACACTGATATTTTTACCTTCGTCCTCGCCATCAATAGTGATCATCACTTCAAATCTATCAACATCTGTGTTATTGTACTTACCAAGAACAAAGCAGAAAATAAAGCCAATGAGAAGGGAAGGTGGAGCAGAAGAGAGATCAATAATTATAGAATCCTTTCTTGTCTTATATTCCAACCACTTTGGAACTCTAATTCCTGGATACACATAAACACCTGAATAAGAATCACAATTGTCATCATCACAATGTTCAACATGATTGTGACATGGTGTGGATATGTTCTGGTTTGCATAATTCATCACATTCATTCGAACATTCAACCCAATAGCCTCCAGAGTCTGATTATCCAAGTTCGTGCATTTCCAGAACAGAATGCCTTTCCTGTTCTCCTTTAATTGTTCGACAGCCGGTGAAGGAAACAATATAGTCTTCAAAGATTGGCATTCTCTGGCATTCAGAGTTTCAAGTGATAGGGGAAGCTTTGGAATAGTTCGAAGCTTGCTGCAAAAGCTTATGTCAAGGTGTAGCAGTTGATTAAAATTGCTGCTACCGAGTGTGGTGAGAGATGTGCAACAAAGAAGGTCCAATTTCACAAGTTTGGGCAGAGAGTAAATAGATGGATGAACACTAGTCAACGAAGAACAACTCATAAGAAGAAGGACTTCTAGATTTGTGGCTTTTGATAGATCTGGTAGCTTCTTTAAATTTTGTGATCGACTAAGGTCAACTTGTTTTAAATTCACCATATTCTGCAATGTAATGAAACAAAATTAAGATATCATCACATCAAGCTAAATTAACACAAACTAATAACAGTGAGGCACCTACCTTCACTCCATCCCAAAGTTTTTCCATTCTTCCATTTCTCAACTTCAATATTACAAGTTTCTCTGCAGAAAAATTCTCTGGCAATGATTTCAGAGGGTATTGATACCAAGAAAGAAATCTTAGCTCAGTTGCCAAAAATTGTGGCCCTTTAAGAAGAGTAAGTTCATCATAGCGACCACATACAAAAACTTCCAGTTTGCTCATATTAATTTCCAGAATTTGAGGCACTAACTTTTGCTCCTTAATTGTTGGCAAGTGAATTCTTATACTTCTAATAGCCTCTTTAACCTGTCACCAATGTTAAAGAAAAAAGTTAAACATCACCAAAAGCCACATTTCTCACCAAAAACTGTTCCAAAGACACAGTATCTAGTTTAGTTTTAACCTTGTCATTTTTCAATGCTTCACAAATGTCATTTAGTTCCCACAACCGACTGCGATTTCCAGGGTGCTCAACAGACTCTTGGCGAACAATCTCCCACGCCATTTCTTGTAAACTATCATGTATAGATACAGTATTATCATCAGATATAGTTATGAGAGCTTTGTCTTTCAACCTTCCCAACTCAAAAGCCACAGAATTATCACTGTCATCATCTTTCAATAAAGACTTCAGATAATCCACATTCACAGCTACATGAGTTCTGAGAAAGAAACATGCAAGATCAAGAAATATTTGTTTCCCTTTGCGATCTAGACTATCATAACTCAGTTTCATTACTTTATAAACTTTTTTAGGAGGCATTTTCTTAAGCTTTCCCAACATACTTTCCCATTCTTCCTTATTTTTTCCATGAAGAAGACCAGCCAAAACTTTCACAACCAATGGAATGCCTTGGGCATAATCAACCACCCTTTTAGAAAGCTCTTTGTATTCCTGCACACGATCATTTGTTTTAAAGGCATTCAAATGGAAAAGTTCAAGGGCTTTGTCAAAATTGAATTCTTTAAGCTGGTATATCTTATCTGCTTTGTTAGCCCTCAGCACTTGTTCATCTCTAGTTGTTACAATTATTCTACTACCTGATCCAAAATTATCGAGAGTTCCCAGCAGTTTTTCCAGCTGTTCGGACTCATTCACACCATCAAGAACAATAAGAACCTTCATACAACCAATTCTCCTGACAATACCTTTGGGCAATGAATTTGGTGTATCGATTTTGACATCATATCCTAATAGCTTAGAAAACATTTTTTCCTTCAAGGAAATTAGCTCGTGTTTGTTTGATCGATCTGTTTCACTGGCTGCAAAATAGGAACCTTCATATTCAGATTGTAGTTTATTAAATACTTCTTCTGCAAGAGTTGTCTTGCCAATACCTCCCATACCCCAAATTCCAATAAGTCTGGTTTGCTTTGGCTCCTCTGTCATCAGTGATTCTATAGCTGCAATTTTTTCATCAATTCCAACGAGCCCTTTTGTGTTAATTGACTGTTTAACCAATCTCTTGAGCACTTCATTGACAATTTCCTTAACTAGTTCAGCATCACCCCTATATATCACACAAAAGAGAGTTTCACTCTGTTAAAATCAAGGTCTTTGACATAATTGTTTGGAAGTTTCGTGAGGGATTCAAATGCATGACGGAAAATTTCTTTGTGGTGATTCTTTAATAGTCAGTACTAAAAAACAAAGGGGATTTTTGTTAGATATATCTATAAATATTTTAATGTATACATGTAACTTAAGCACTGAACTCTTTGCACTAGCAACAAAGCATGGTCTACCCATCAGAATTCTGCCATAGTTGCATTGGCTACAATTATTTTATTAGAAAGTAATGAATAATAAACATTCTTCTGCAAACAATTTTCAACACAATGATTAATTACATCACTTTTTCCATTTAACAAACCAAGATATGATAATATGCACATAAACTACATAACAAGTGTAAAATATTTGACATTTATGGGGAAGAAAGAGCTTACGAAAATTTTGATGAGTTAATTCCCGCTAAACAAGAAGCCAAATTCAAAGCACGTCTCCAGCGTTGCACCTCGGATTGATGTCGTACATATGTGGGTTCTACATAGTAGAAAACAGGTAAAACATAAGTTCCATATTTCTCTCTACATTCAAGTATTGTCACGAGTTCTTCTAAACACCAACGAGAAGAAGCATAGTTTTGTGAGAATATGACCAATGAAATGGATGATCCTTCAATTGCTTCAACAAGTGATGGCCATATTTCTTCTCCCTTCTCTAGATTGTTATCAGCTACAAAGGCATCTATGTTTCTCCTTTGAAAAGCTTCAGTCAAATGGCTAAGAAAGCCGCGATGGACATCCTTGCCTCTGAAGCTAACAAAAACATCATGCTTGATCTGAGGATCATTGTTGTCAATCGTAGGATCATTGTTGTCAGTCGTAGGTTTTTCCTCTGCACCTTTCAGTCCTCCAAATAACCAAGAGACAAAGGAAAACAAAACCCGGATAAATGAATAAGAGCCACAGAAATTCAACATATTTGATTGGATTGGTACAACTGCAAAACTGGGTCTTTTATTTATCTTTACACGGGAAAATGCTTGAGCTTCAAGGCAACTGAAACCTGAAGAAAGTTAGAAACATAGGAAAAAATCAGAGATTTTATTATAATTAAGACAGAAGTTAAGTTGATAACAAGCTGAAATGAGAAATGAAGAAGATATCATATGACAAATGCATGAATACCAGCTTTAATTCTTCAGGATTAGGAAGCGTGCAAATTAAGCCTTCGTTCTTGTTTTATTCCTTTTCTTTTGACCCAAAACGAACGATTGATGGAGTACCTTTCAGCGAGCCTTACAGTTTATGAAGCAATTCCACTTAAGGATTTTCAGTAATGAAGAAAAAAGCAGATGCTGTTTTACCTTTACAGCTTAAAAGTTATTCTAACACAGTGATTAAACACTTTACAATGACAGCCAAATTCTAAAACATTCACTAGTACGCTTTTCTGAATGCGTAATAAAGAGAGAAATATAACACTCCTGAAATAAGATACTCAAAAGGAATAAACTAAATGATAAAAGCGTAAGCAATTCTGTGTTTAAGCAAGTAGTAAAGAAGGTGATGGTGAAGGAAAAAGCTTCTCTCTTTGCTACTCCCATGGAAAAATCGAGGTAGCACAAGACCCATGCATCGATAAACATGCAAACTAGCAATAATAATATGCCTAACTTTTCTGGGAAATTGACACAATCATCACTTCGTGTAGCGTCGTATTCCATGTTATGATCTTGGTAGTTTTAAGTGGTCTTGCATACTATTGTCTTTTGAGTATATAGTTTGATTCAAAACTAAGCATGTTTCTGAAGACTGAAAAATCTGTTATTTAGTAACATGATTTTATAATTTTCATTCTTGCATACCATTCTTTTTCCCTTACGTGAAGAAGTTTGTTAAACCAGCAAGGCTGCTACTCCACACACCATTGTCATAATTACCATCGTTGTAGAGGAAGAAAAAGAAGAATTAGAGAACACATTGCAGAAAAAGACTTATTCTAAAAAGCTCTTTCCAGAACGCATTTTTTGTATTTTAAAGGGTTTACTCTGGAAAATTCATTCTAGAAATATTATTTTGAAAATTATTATTTACATTTTGGAAAGTATATTCTAGAAATCTTGTCTGAAAAGCTTGTTTCAAAATGCATTTCGTGGACTCTAAAATTTTTGTCCTGAACTTTTATTCTAAAATTTTCATTATTGAAATCCGATTTTAAAAATTAAATTCTGGAAATTCTAGAAAACTTATTCAAAAGATCGAGAGAATGGATAATCTAGAAGTTGCTTTTATGATAAATAAAATATCATTTTCAAAATGGAGGGGTGTAAAGAAAATTGTTGGGGTGTAAGGAAAAGGCCGAAAGATATTACGTAGACAACACAGTATAGCCTGCTTGAAACAGGTTCGGTTTCTTACTGAAACCCATCACGAAAACATAGGCTTCGGGAATTTGGGTCAGTAGTGGGAATTTAGTATCCGGATTCGTGTTTCAGGAGGTGTAATATATATTTTGACTTTGACTTTTCCTTCTTGAACCCCCAAAATTTCTAGGTGCACCCTCATGATTTTTAAAATGGCCATTCTACTCTTCCTAAAAGCGTGACTTATGGACTACTTGTTCTAGAAAATTTTTAAAATAAGTTTGATGGAATTTCCAGAACAGGATTCTTGGAACAGAATTTCCAGAAAAAAAAAATCTAAATAAAATTTCTACAATTTTTGGAAAAGCCTTTTGGAACACATAAAATGCATTTCAAAATAAGATTTTCAAAATAAAATTTCTCAAACAAGTTTTTTGAATGAGATTTTCTAAAACAAGCTTTCCAAAATGATATAAAATGTGTTCTAAAAGGAGTTTTCCAAAACATTTTAAAATTTGAATTCTTTTAAAAACTTGTTTAATTTTTTTTGTAAAAAAATAGGAAGTTACTAAAATTACTTTTCTTAAAATGTAAACGTTTTTCTTTAGTAATTAAAGGGTCAAAAGGCCAGCAGATAAATTTGTCAACAGGAAATCATTTTCAAAATAGTATGGAGGTAGAAGAAAAAATTAAAGCAGAGAAAAATCTTAGTATAATATACTATATAAAATACTCATTTGAACAAATTATTAATTAAAATTTACGGAAAATCACAATCATTTTAGCCTCAATTTATCTAATAAGTATCACTATACCATATGGATAATGTTGTCGTAAAAACTTTGTTTCGTAGTGAAAAGGGATGTCTTGAATTGTTAGTCTTCTTTATACATACACTTTTAACTAGCACTTTGAAATTCAAATTGAACCAATTATTGTCATTACTTTGCAGGATGGATAAGAATACAAAAGAGAAAGAAAAATCAGTATTCTCTTATTCTTTATTCTTTATGCCATCTTGTGCGATAATTATTAGTTCAATTTCCCAGTAGATGTGATGTAGAATGTTTGTGGCGTATCCAGTCCATTATTTTAATTGAATCTCTTTTTTCATTTATCTATTGAATTTCTTCACTTATTATTTTGCCTTTTGGGGTTGTGGATTCTAATTATACCATTCATATGTAATACTTTATAATTATTTATAAAATTGAATATACCCCACAAACTATTTAATATTTCATGACACTATTTTTTTTAACGTTAACAAATTATTTACAAAATGAAAATTGATACGCATAAGATAATATCGAAGGTGGTGTGGTGCAGACGTGTAATGAGATTAGCAGTAGAAAATAACATGTTTAACGTCGTTTTGTGTCTCTCACGTCATACGACAGTAGTGACAAAGTGTGGCGTTGTCGTTCTCGACCACCAAGAAAAAGGGGTGTTGTCCGTACAGACAGATAGATAGATTTGTTTGTGATCCAGAATTAGATGCCGTGGAGCATTCTCAGCCTATCATAGGTGCTTCCTCAGTTTGAGTTCACCTACAATTTCCAACAGCTCTTCCCACCAAACATCTCATCCTTTACACCTTTACACGTCATCCCACTCTTCAACAATAATCCCAAATTAGGCCAAATCCAACACTAATTTATAAGAATTAGGGTTTAATGATCCAACATTAATGTATTTAAGATATGTTTAATTATGTCTTAGATTTGAGTTTATATCTAATTCAATAAAAGTTCGTTCACTTGTAGATATTATTTTTGACATTTATGAGATTTTTAGTTCTTTCTAATACAATGATTTGGATTCAGGTCTTACTAAGATTTGGTCAACTTAAGTACTTGAAAGAAAGGTTTTTTATCCTCTTTAATGCTCTTACACCTGTTTCAAACAGCTTCAACATTCAATTAATGTTAATACCTGATTTTTTGTTTTTCTTGCCAAGGCTAATTTATCAGTCTTGCTTTTGAACTTTGTACATAATAATTGACCCTACCCAACGAAATACACTGTAGATTATGTCAGCCCTGTATGTGATATGAAATACCAATGTGAAATTCATATAGAAATTCTAAGCCTTTTTTTCTGCATCAGGTAGAATAATTTCACTATTAATAATTATTAACTGTGAGAATAAGAGCTGTACTTTATGCAAATAATCTGAATTTTGAGACTCTTCTGCACATGCATGGTTGTCCCACAAATGTCCAAAGGGTGGTTGGCATTTAGTTTTGCCTCAGACTTGGAAACTACAATGTTCAGATCCTCTGAAAGCAAAAGGACTCTAAGCTAACTTTCTACACAAACTTCTTTTTTTTTTTATTTGTTATATTATTATTATTATTATTATTTTCATTTCTTATTTGAAGTAAATAATAACAAATCTGATGGGGCTCTCCTAGGACGAGTGACTATATTACAAAGCATGAGGGTCAAATTTGATTAAGTTATCTAGCTACTTTTTTTCTTTTCACTTTATTTTTTTCTCAATGAAGACAAGTTTTTGACTTTGCTTGCCCAAAGCTAGGTTTATTATAGTTGTTCTCTAATCATCCTACTAGAGTAGGACCATTTCAATTTGGATTTTGTTTATCCTTTCAAAATCAAAACTTTCTTAATATGAGCAATTCATGGGACCATAACTGCCTCTCACACACCCACCTTATCAGAATATACCAAATTTGTTAGTAGGTTCACCTTGTATTGGGATTACTAATGGTGAAACTTTCATGATTTCACTCCTCTATTATAATCAACAACGGATCTCTACAATCAAATCAAAATTTTCACAATTTACAAAAAGGTATGTTTCTTTAATTATAAACTCATGTGCTAATTTTTATAATAATATCATGTAAAATGTCTCGTTTTTAGAAAGTACATAATCCAATCTTAAAAGTCAAATTCAATGACAATTGATATCAATTAGCGCATTATATCCATCACTTTTTTAAAAAAATTTAATAGAAAGGTGAAAAATAGTATGATTAATTAAATTTAAGTATGTTTTTAATCCCTGAACATGAAATTAAAAGTTATTTATATCCGAAATCTTAATATATTTTAATTTTTAAACTTTAAAATTGAATAATGTAATCATTTTAATCCCATAATTATGTTAAATTTTTTTATCGCATTTTCTAGCTAACATTAAAATAAAAACATATGTAAACAATGCAAATGATAACAAGAAACGAGCTTGATATGTTAACAGAAATTTAACCTATATTTGAAAACGTGTGTGTGTGTGTGTATATATATATATATATATATATATATATATATATATATATATATATATATATCAAAATTTTGAATAATAGCAAAGTCCAATTTTTCATCAAAATTTAAAAATTAAAAATCCGAATAATTATAATGTCATCCCCATTACAAATTCTTTTGAATGATCAATTTATACTATTTTTTATATAAGTTATCTTAAAATCTATATCTATCATAACTTGTGATAGATTGTGAGTGTAAATATAAAATCTTATACTTTTTATATTGCTTTAATTCTCTGTTTTTTATCAGGTCATTCCTGATATTCATGCTTTAAAAATCTTGATGTTTCTGTTCTCACCCAAGAAGTAAGGAATGATAAAATATTTTAAAGTGATAAAACCCAATGGAAAACGAATAAAAAAATGAAGTGGGTAATTAATTTAAAGAGAAAGGGTATAAAGAGAAGGGGGTGGAAGAAGTGTAGGATGAGCTGGTTGATTTGAAATGAGAGGGGAAAAACTTGTAAGTAGGGGAGACCCTCTAAGTGCAAAGAGAAAGAGTACCACTTAAA